GGGGGCGGGGGCTTCCTTCCCCACCCCATCTTGTCGCCTCCTGCCCTTGGTCTGCTCCATCGGCTCGAGAGCCAGGGGTTTCTGCTGAGATCAGAAGCAACAGAAGGCAGCAGCCCCTGAGACCCAGCTCCTTTCCACCTCCCCTCACGTGTGATTGCTAACAGCTCACTGTGGCTGTGAGTGGAGATGCCAAAAACAGGCTAAAAATGACCGGAAGTGTGGATAGGGTTTGAGCCTCCCTCCAGTCCCCCTGCTGGCAGGAAATGGCCTAAGTCTGGTCAACGTTGCACCGCAGAGCTGCTCACTTCAGAGCCCTCCTGGGTCACGATCGGTGCTCAGCGCGGTTTTCACTGTCTTTAACGGTGGAAATTCAGAGCCAGCCTCTGTCACCAGCAGAAAGGAAATGGTGCTGTAGATCATAGGACACCCGTGTGCTTACGTTTCACTTAGCCACTAAAAAGTGATAATTATGCAGGCTGTGTCGCAAAATGAAGAACGTCCATGGTAGCACATTGAGCGAAGAAGGCAGAAGGGCAGGTTCCACCTACTCTGGGATCACAGCTTTGTGCAAATTCTCGGTGCAAGTGGATGTGAGAGGGAAAGACCCAGACACTAAGAAGCAAGGGCAGTGCTGTGCAGAGTGGTTCCTCTTCAGTGGTCACAGATACGGCTACACTATTATCTACAAGATGAATGAGGAAAAAGTAATAAAGTAACATTCCTTGAGAAGAAAACCCTTTTAGAAGAAATTCAGTCAACCTCTTTTGAAGGTAGGGTCAGCCTCAAGCCAAGAATGGCCAAGGGAGTAGAGAGTGTTTGGGAGGAGAAAGAGCATTACAAGTAAAACCAAGCAAACCTTGACTGATGGGCTCCTGCCTGTAAAGGCTCCAGGAACAAAGAAGAAAGATCAGAGAGAAGGATGTCACTAGGTAGGGAAGAATTCCAGGTAAGGGGAGCTCGAGGAGGGTGAAGAGAGGAGCAGCCCACTGTGCTGGTCTCTTCCAGCCCCACTGAGCCTGTGAGGGGCCCCCGTGCCCGACCTTGCCCGACCTTGCAAGGCCAGGGTGCCCCATTTCATAGACAGGGAAACCGAGGCTCGGCACCAGATTCAGCCTCAACTTTGGGATTCTGTGAAGAGTTCTGCCAAACTTTTTTCTTGGTTTTACCAAAGAACCCGAGGAAGATTTTGGGCAGGGAAGATGTGTTTGTTACCTTGTTGTTAATATGTTCACAGTTGTGGACCTATTGCCCCAGATGTGGCGGTGCACACGTCAGTACATGCAGTTCGTTATACATCAGTTACTCATATAAAAACTACCCCTTAAAAACTTGAACTTCATCCGGTGGGAAATAGCACACAAGACTATCTCAGATGTTATTTTCATGCATTCATTTATAAGTATTATTGATGCCTTCATGTGAGCTCCCCAGATGTAAAAGTGAGCAAGACACACGTGTCCCCATGTCCTTGGCATCCAGGCTAGTAGAGACAGATCACGAAATGAGCACTTTCAAGACGGATGTTAGCCCCTCATGGGGGAGCACAGGGCATGCTGGGAACCCAGCGGAGCAACCACTGCATGGACCCATAGGACACAGGGGGGCTCACTTGGCCTTTTCAAGCACTATGAATGGACACTGTCCTTGTTTTCAAAGGAGGAAGCCCAGGCTTAGCCTGGCTAAGTCAGTCCTGCGCACCTGTTCCTCACCAGTCCTGGTCAGAGCTCGTGTTCCTTCCATCACCCACACTCCCTCTCCCAAAGGCAGTGCGGGTGGCTCACCCTGGGGCCAGGCTCAAAGCCCAGCTGCCTGCACGAGAGCCTGGAGCAGCGGGAGATGCTGAATGGTGCCATCAGACTGGATCAGGGCTTCTTCCTATCCGTGCTGGGGATGTTTGGAGCAGGCGGCGTCATTCTGTTGCTGGAGGCTGTGCTGTGTGTTGCAGAATGGTTAGAGCAAACCAGCTCTCTCTCCGTTGGGTGCAGTAGCCGTTGCCTGTCTCCCAGGACTTCACACTGCAGGATGTCTCCAGGCATCCCCGTGGGGAGGGCGAGCAGGACCACTGCTGGTTAAAAACCACTGGAGTGGGGCCAGGGATTTATTTAGCTCAGTAGTTCCACTGCCTGCCTTGCAAGAACAAGGACCCAAGTTTGATCCCCGGTACCACAAATAGAAACAACAACAACAAAACCACAGGAGTGATGAGTGTTTGAGATGATGGATATGCTAGGTACCCTGATTTACTCACTACAGCGTATATATACTGTATCAAAATATCACACTCTACCCCAGCAGAGGTATGATTACTAAGTGTCAAGTGAGAGTTTTAAAGAGTAGCACGAAACCACTGGGATGGCGTTGGGATCGGAAGCAGTGAAGCCCTGTTGCAAGAGATGAGTTTGTGAGAAACTGGACCAGACACAGCATGTGGGATGAGAGGAGAGCGGCCTCGGAAATTAGGGTGGGAAGCGATGGAGAGGTAAGGAAGGGCAGAGCTGCGGGGGGTTCCGAAAAAGGAGGCACAGGGACTGCTGACTGTGGAGAATCGGACCAGTGAGCCCAGGGCTTCTCCTTGTCATTAGACAGAGGCATCAGAAGCCCGGACGACTCCCTGCAGACGGGATAAATGCACCATGCGCCTGCAACGTCAGGGGAAATTGGGGC